ATAAAACGTTATTTATAACGTTTTAAAAATCGTAACGGACCGGTTCTCCTTGTTTCTGTCTCCTTCTCGCTCGCTCTTCTTTCCGTCTCTCTCTTACTCTCGCTCGATCGGCTCTCGTTTTTTTTTTCGTCTGGGTCCTTCTGCTTGTATTGTGCCCGAGATGCGCCGAGATACGAATCTGTTTTAAATAATAATATTGATACGTCGTGGTAATTGGTCGGTATCGAGAGGGGTCGTCGAAATGAATATTATACTTCCAGCTTACGTCTGCGAAACGCGTAATCGATAATCGGCTTAACCCTTTCTTATCAACCGATTAAATCAATGTCGACCAACGTTTGTTCGATTGACAACATAGGCATATTGTATAGTCGACCATGAGGTACTGTACTGCTACAATTGAACAATCTATCCGCGGGGTTGATATTATGAAATAACCGCGAAACGATAGGTACGAAATGAATTATTTTAAAAGTTCGTATCCAATATAATATATAAGGTACTTTTAGTTTATGCATTGATTAAATATATGTATATTTAATCAATGGTTTATGTTATCGAAGATGATTTCAAAATATTCGGTTTAACAGCAGTTTCTGCATTTCATCCGGAATCGCAGTTGCAATATTAATTGTTGTTTATTATTTTTATCGTACGTCAGAAACTGCAGCAGTTGAAAATCACATAATATTTTGAGACAATCGATTACGCGTATAAAACGATTCGTTCTGATCTGCAATCACGTATTAATTATCGAGATTCATGAGTTGCAAAATGTCTTCGAATATAATATGGGTGGTGGCAGCAGCAACCGTTTGGCGGGATTCACCTTCCATTTCGGTTTTTCAATCCGTATGTACTTCCACCTCTTTATATTATTAGGTAGGTAAATAATAAATAGTCGTCTAACCCGATTTGTTGATTTTGATTTAATTTTTTTTGTTGTACCTATACCCAAACCGACGACCGGTCTCGAAGAACCACCGAGTCGGTCGGTCGGTACTGCGCCGACAAAGTGCAAACCGGTTGTCCGCGACTGGGCGACCGCCACGCATCTTCTGCAGCAGTCCGAGGAGTCGCGCAACAATGTACGCATTGTACGTATATTCGTACACCGGTCACGTAAAACCGAATTTCTCATGGGCCGGGCTGCGTGAATAATATGATGATAATAATAATAATAATAATAATAATAATAGCAACACGCGGAATGTCCAGCTGTGCGGTACGACACATCGCATTATATAATAATATCGTGCACATTGTGACATAGTGTCCCGTATATTATAATACTAACTGTTGCCCTGGTCGGGCGCGGCGATTGTCTGGGGGGGGTGCGCGCGCGCGAGCGAATCTTCCTTACGCAAACACGCACACCACGTGACCTTAAAAAAATAATAATAATTTATATAAACGTTATCAAAAGACGCACACGTGTGCAGTGTGCCGCAGTCGTGTTGTTGTGACGACGACGCCCATTTATACGTTACAATGCGGCTCGTCGTAAATCTTCCGTCGAAATACGAATCCTGCGGTGCAAAAATCGTCAAGACTATAATATATAATGTCGGCCGACGATGTGGGTATCGTGGATTTTCTTAAAGGAGTTTTCCGTACCGGATATCAGAGGAAAACTATCGACAATATCGCGAAGAAAAACACATCTACTACGGCCTGAGATGGTTATAACGACTGTCAACGAACATTTAAAGCCAGAAACGATTTTAATAACGACCTTTAATATATTACTTGTTATATAACACCAATTTTAAAAGGTATATAATCTAAAAATTAATAGGTAACCTCCTAACCTTGGGTAACAAATGGAGCTCGAATGGGGAGAACATGAATGTTGAGAAAATAAACAGAATTCTTCCCGCCAATAGGTATACATGTATATTTTAAAAAAATGAGAGTAAAATATAAAATATTTATTATATTTATTAACGTCGGTCCCCCACCCGAGAACAGTTTTTTTTCTTTTTTAGAACTGCCAAACAACGACGACGGCGCGTATGACTTATATTATAAGGTGTGTAGAGACGTATGTATATATATATATATATCGTATAAGTATACACCAGCGAGAGACCCGTAAGCACGTTTGGGGGAGAGAACGACGCGTATTTTTCACCCGACAGCGCCCCCCCGCGCTCATTGTGAGTCCACGGAGAGAGAGACGTGATTGACAAGTACATTTGCATTATACACCGGGCGCGGCAGTTCCGGAGCCCGTCGTCACTACCGCCGCCACTTCTACGCCGCCACTGCCTCCGGTGTCACCAGATCCGTGTGCAATAATATACGCGTCACGAGACGCGGAGTCTAGACGTGACGCGGGTGAGTGGCGGAGAGGAAACCAGTCCGGTGTGTGGCATTGTTGTATGGGATTTTCGGAGCCCAGGCGACGGGGTCTTGTCGCGGTCCAGCTTTCGGAGCACAATGGAGCCACGGCGCTGTGCGTAATTATTATTATTGCTGTCGGAAATCAGCGGTGGTTGACCGAGTGGTTAAGACCTAAAACCGGAACGCGGGTTGAATTTCCGTATAGGTAAACACATACGATCCGTTTCGACCGCGGTCCGCGACATTAAATCGGTTTCCGATAACGTAATAATATATATATATATATATATATATATATATCATATGCCTAATAATTATATGCCTACTCTGCGGGTGTAGGCAATAGTACTACTAATAATAAATAATAATAGTGGAGGTATTCATAACAATAACATACACGAAATTATAATATTACCAGCAAATTATAATATATAGGTCACCCATATAACTAGCCATTTCATAAAAACATAAATACATAATAATGATGTGTAAATAACAAGAAACGAAGTTTCCATAAACACACGTCCAGCTGTTCATCTGATTATTATTGTTATCTCTGCGAATGACGATTCGTTTGCGGTTTTGCGATTTTGCACCACTTGACAGTTAGTTATTCGGACAAAGGACGTCATTTGAGAAATAATAAGTATATAAGTACATTTATGTGTTATACATGTTAAGCCTGAATTCGGAATATAAGTAAAATTAAAGAAATCGCCAAAGTTAAGTAGATTGACATAATATAAGACAATTTAAATATTTGTAAATAAATTAAGAGTATATATTTGAAAATAATCGTTAGGTATCAATGTTTATCATGGTAATGTAAATCATCTTTATTAATTATAAATAATAAAATAAGCGGTTTCATGATTTTGTAGGTATCGTGTTTAGTTACCTAACCTAACCCACTCTTACTTTTACGGTTACTTTTTACGTTGGATAAATTTATTTTACATCGAATCTAATTATTTCGTGATACAAACTACGTATAGACGCCTCTAAACATTATATTATTTTAATGGCCGTTTGATAAGACAACTCACATTGACAAATTAGGTTTTGGTATGGGTAGGTGCAGCATAACTACGTTGTAATGAAATGCCTACAATGATTTTCCCTGCAGTGCACACTAGCCGCCACTATGCCGCTACCACAGTCATTTGGCTATGTGTTTTCAACGTGTGCTAATTTATTCCGCCCTTCGTCAGCCGGGACGACACACAATACAATAGACTAAACGTGCGGGAACACACAAACGTCCTTATCTGATGATCGTACGTATTTCAAATTCAATGTGTACATGGCATTCTTCGCCCGAGCACGCGCCAAGAAACCGTCTTATTAGTTACAATAATAATAATAATAATAATAATAATAAAAATACGAATAAAAAAAGTTACCCCGCAGTTCATAAATATCACCATTACAGCGCACTGCGATATGCTCCCCCAACCATATGGTAAAATGGTTTTAATTTGAAGTAGTCACCACAGTCAGTTGACAGACGTGTGTAACTATATAATTGTTTATTATTTTAGTGAATTTATCTATGGTACAACACATGGAATTCAACTAAATAAAAGCAAGTCAATACACTGTAGTACAGAGTAGTTTCAGTGCACAACTCAGAGAATGTCCTCCCTTATAGTTTAACCATCAGCCTCTCCCATTCCATCAAAGTATTTACTCGCTACTTTGGAGTGACACTTGACAACGCCAGCACATTTAAATACTTAATGATAGAAGCAGGCTACTTAACCTACCGTAAAGCATTACTTTACCTTCTAACATCCAAACACACCAGCTTGAAATACATAATAATTCTATAATATCTACACTAAATATATCGCGAGTTCCAGTAAGGCAATATAATAGAATATTAACAAGTTATTTAAATCTAAACCTCTGGGGAAATAATAAATTATTCCTTTGATGTATCAAACCATACCCAATATTACAACCTCAACATTCCTTCGATTTCTTACGTAGTAGTAGTGGACTACAAACGCCTACACTTCAAACTTGGTACCAGCTAAAGAAACCAGTAAATAATAGCTAGAAAATTAAGTGAAAATATTACGGATGACCTCCCGAGGCGGTTAAAGCAACGGTGGTTCGAGATCTTAAAAAATATCACTTAAATATTAAAATGTAATTACTTGAAGATATTGACTTTTATGCAGTGTGGTATTATCAGTAGGTTGGCCGGGTTGGGTTAGGTTAGGTTTCACCCACGTGATATCGCACTATTTAAATTCCATATTAACAATATGCATTATAAACAAATTGTAAAAACTGTAAATAGAGAATTAATTGTACTTTGAAAAAACCTAACAGAGAAACGACATTTTTATCGATTTTTAATTTGTATAAGTACTATTTTCCGTTTATTTATCAGCTGAAATGACTGATAAACATTGAACTGGTCCGGTACAATTTGAACAAATACCTATCTTCAAAATGTGAACGAAATAGATAAGTAAACAACTGTTGACACGAAATACTACAACATGTTGTATTGATTTGATGTTCGATTTGTGTACGTAAAGTGCGTATAATCGAAACGTTATATTTTGGCGGGATCTCAAGTTAGCCAAGATACATGTAGCTACCTAAATAGGTGTATAATATTGTAGCTTATTATTACTTACGTTTGATATTCTCGTACATTTGTCAGATTCACTGATGGTCGATGGTCTCGTATCCAAAAAGTCGGTGTCATCACATCGAAAAATAATATAGATGTACAAGTGAGTGAGCGTGTGTGTGTGTGTGTGTGTGTCTGTGTGAAAAATCGAAAAATATTGAAAAATATATCAAACGCAATATAAATAAACGCAAAACGTGTAAAACAACATCGAGTGTACTGCAATGAAGTTGTGATTAAAAATTTAAAAAATGATATCACGCAGCCGGTGGGCGACGACGTTACTTTTAAAATATAATGATATGCTATACAAAAATATTATTTTTTCATGTCGTGTTCGGTGTGCGCGCGCGCGTGGGTCTGACGTGCAGCGCCAAGAGTCAAACGAGAACTGAACGCTGCCGGTAGTCGAACGGCGACGACTGGTTCGTCGGTGTAGTTGCTGCTGGTAGAGCGAGGTACAGCTATATACACCTATATACATACACATATATATATATATATGCATGTATGCGTACGATGCACATGTATATATATATATATACGACGACGACGTGTTATTTCCATTGCCATTTCGACGATTTACAGCTGCTTGCCCTGCCCCATTATACACACGTTATGTATATTATTATGTATATGGTGTACATAATATATATATATATATATATATGTATATGTATAGCGCCGCGCCACCTTTTGTGTACTATTTTTCGTTCCTTTTTTTTCCTTCTTTTCTTTTCTTTTTTTTTTTTTTTATAGCATTGTAATACCTGTGCCTTTTCGGTGTTACCTGCGATCGGCGCGCGCGCGCCAGCGCACATATAAGAAACCACCCCGCACGGCATTTCATATAGAATCGTTTGCGGGGATCCAATGTGGATACCTACTTTTCGCGTACACGCGTTTGTATACATATTTTATGTGCATAACTCTCCCGATCGTTTTCTCGGGTCGTATATGGTACAATAATTATATGTAGCAATGAGTTATGATACTCGCATATATTATACGTATTCAATTATATACATTAATATGTATATCCTGAATTATGATACTCGTGTAGGCCAGATCGGTTGGGTTGGGTTAGTATTGTGTTGCGTTTAATTAACAGCGTTTTGTCTAAAAGAACCATTTCGCACCGGTACAACGACTCCAGTTTATATATATATATATATTATATATATATCATATATGTTATATTGTGTACCACAGAAACGCATAACGTCATAATTATGTATTACACTGCTGCAGCAGTACCGACGACGGCGACGGACAGTTTAGTATAAGGGATCAACAAGCCTTACGGACAAACGCTCGCTCAGCCAGTGGCGGATCCAAGGGAGGGGTAAAAGGGTAAATACCCCCCCCCCCTTGAGCTTATTATATTTAAATTTTATAAATTTATTTAAAAAAAAAATATCGGTTGAATTTTTTCGTTTATTTTATAAAAATGTTGTCATTAATACCAGTTTGTAAGAATAAATTCTAAATGGTGAATATTAATAAGGAAATAATAAGTAATTAATGTTTATATTAATAAGTATGTTATTAAGTAGGTATGAATAGTATCTGATGGATATATTTTTATTACCCCCCCCCCTTGATGAATGAATTTCTGGATCCGCCCCTGCGCTCAGCTCCTGCAGTGCATACAGATCGGAGCCGTGGGATTCGATCAACCCTTGTATAATATGTGAACTTGTTGTCAAGTTATAGTTTTGGAGAAAACTTACTCATAGATTTAAAGCTCAACATTTTAAGATCACTGCGACTCGGAGTCTTAGACTTTCGTACAACTGCTGTTGTGTGTCGTAATATTTAAATGTAGAGAATTCTGTTCGATTACTCAAAGGCGCATCTCGTGGTTCGCGTTAGACGTAGTGCTCAAAAACTTGTATGAAAAATGTGCAACTCAAGCATTTTATGTAATAAAATATGCATAATAATATGCCTAAGACGAAAACATCTGGATATAGACATAATATAGCTAACGTATATTATGTAAACAGATTCGTTTACAACAATTCATATTATAATCACTGCAATTATATGTAAATTAGTTATATTATTAATCAATTTGGTCAACAATACCGGACAGAAGTAAATATATAATAACATAATTCCTTGCAATTTCTGTTTTATGAGTTATGAGTTTATGACCTACTCGAGGAATATATACACAATATAAATAAGACACAATAAGCAAACTAAACTCTAAAAAACTAATAATATTATTTGAACATTTGTGGTTTTTTAAGTGATAATTGAAGACAATGAAATAACAATTTTATATATTCGTGTTTAAAGGCTTATATAATTGTATAATCGAATAATACACTTCTAGTTTTAATAGGTTATTATATTCTTCTCAGTGCCCCTTGACACAGAACAGTTAATTTATTTCCTGTTCTTTATTTATAGTTTGTTTAATTTGCAATGTACCTTTTTAATTAAAGTTATTGTCATCTTACGATTCACAATCTTGACTGATGAAGATGAACAGATGATGTATTAATATTAGAAATTAAACCATATAATTTAAAAATGTATATATATAAGTAGGGCTCGGATTTTAAAGCATAATAAATAACAAAAAAAGCATAAAATTGATTAAAAAAAGCAAAAATGAAGCATATTTATTTTTAAAAAAAGCAAAAAAAAAGCACGACTAAAAATTAACACGAATTAGTTATAATTTTATAAAACTGAATGAAAAAAAATTGAAAAATTAATTTAAATTAAAAAAAGAATTTACTACCATGTATTTGGTAAGATTTTCAGTAGTGAAACTTACTCTCTTGTCAGACAGGTTGTTTTTATATATCGAAAACGAACGCTCTACATCCACTGAAGTGATCGGTGCATACTTCATGCAAGAGGTTTCGTTTAAATCAAACCCATGATAATTAATTTCATCTGATGAAACGCCACACAGTATAGTATTGATGTCCAGTAATTGTTTCCAGCCTTTGTTTTTCAAAAGAACACGATTTTGTTTACCAGAAATAGCAGTTGCAATATCTCCATGAGCTTCATTTAACTTTTACTTTACACTTTTATTTTATTTTCATAGCATAACAACAAATAAAAATTCCAC